GTTGTTTTTAATTGGCAAAACGAACGTAATTAAAACATTTAGCAGCCAGATTGAATAATGAGTATTCGCCAGCGAAGCCAGCGAAGCCACGACAGCTACAACACGGCGAAAGCCAGCGAAACGGCAATTAGTGGCCACTGTGAGTCCTCGGAACACCCAGCCAGCTACCAGTTTATGCCACCAGCCAACTGGAAAACGGCCAGCAACTCACGGGCTAAAAGGCTTACGGGCTAACTGGCTAACTGGTTAAATGAGTAACTGAGTAACTGAGTGACTGAGTGACTGAGTGACTGAGTGACGGAGTGACTGACTGACAGCGCCAGGATGTTCGGGGCCAACACGGCGTATGAGTGATATAATTCTAATTGCAAGAAACCATGGTGACGTTGCAGCACACTGTGGCCAGGAAAATCTAAAAATTAAATGTAAATTACTTAATAAGTCCCTTGCCGAACGAGCCTAATGAAGCATGATGAATAAAATAATCCGATTTGCTGCTAATAAAATCTAGCAATTAATTGCAGCAGAGAACGACAAAAGACACTTGTCGGAATTTTCTGTCACTGCACTTTAAGCTGACTTATCCTCTGCAGTTGGCAAACAATTAGATTATTATGGCTGCCAGGCAGCAGGCAGCAGATGCAACCGCTTTTTAGTAGCACAAAGCGAATATTTTTTGGAGAACTGTTGCCTTGGTCAGTGGAACGGGATTTGGGGCAAGCCATATCATAATGAGTTGGCCATTGTCTTGGCCTTGAAGTTACTTTCTCTGCCACTTTGCCACTTGCCACTTGCCACTTTGCCACTTTAGATGAGTGCGATTTAAGTGTGCACTTGAACGACAGAAATGTAGCCTTAATTTGGGGGAAATGGCTGCGAAATCCATTTAAAATTTGACTGCTCGACACGCTCGATTAACAATTCGAGAAAAGCACAAATCCTGATCAGGAATGCACTGCCAAGGCTGCTCCTTTCGGGGCATTTGGAAAAGTTTTGAATGCATTTCAATTATTTTGCATGTTCATCAGATATGCAAACTGGGATTCCAGCCCGGAACGGGGGCGGGGCGACGCCGACGCGGGGAGCATCTCAAAAATGCCAGTCACCAGGCAAAAGTGCATTAAACAACTCAAGTTACGAAACATGATGATGGGGATGATGGGGATGACGACGACGACGACGATGACTACGCCGAGGACGTTGACAATGCCAGGCAAGAACTCAGCTGAACTGAAGTGAACCTCGCAAAGGATATGCGATGGGCGACGGATGGATGAGTCGGATGAGGACGAGCAGTGGGAGTGGGTGGGCCGGATTGCCCCGGTAAGAATGTCACCACACCGCATCGCACACTATTGATTTAATCATTCAAAGCAGCAGCAAAGGCCTCAGTGAACTGAAATCGAATACCCTGTAAATGGTTAAACGGCCACTGTAAAAGCGTGCTGCGTCCGAATTTCGGCTTTAATATTTGCATATCGACGCCAAACTATTCGCTTATTATGTCTTACCCCTGCAAATCAGCTGCAACCATGTTGCAGCAATAAGAACAAGGTCGTTGCTGATGCCTTGTAGGAGGTATAGACGTGGGCGAGGCTTGGCTACGTCGAAGGAGGGCTAATCTAAAGTCCACTCCCTGAGCGGAAAACACAAAGCACACCAGCCAGGAGTCGTACCAGGATTCAGCACTGCATCCAATCCAATGGAACAATGCCGAATGTTGAACATGCTGCGTCAAGGTATTTTTGAGGCCAAAGTCACAAAGTCTGAGCCGAGCGAGCAGTGAACGTAGCAAAAACGGGTGACTGAGCGTAACTCAAGCGACAATGGCTCGGGGCTGGGGAGGATTGGCAGGAGCTCCAGGACCAGCAGCGCCAGCAGCACCAACACCACCAGGACTAGGGCACTCACGCGGAGGGGCAGGACAGGGCAACAATGAGCGGCAAAGGACGTGGAACAACAATAACTAACAAGAGCAATAACAACAGCCATCGGAAAAATGGGATTGTGGAGCGAAAGCGTCACGGGTGGCGGTGTACGAGTATACGAGTATACGAGTATATGGCAGAGAAATTCTTTTCACAACTCTTTCACGGCAATTTCGCCAATCTTTCGCTCTTCTTGTCTATTTGTTCCTTTCACTTTTGCCTTTTTGCCTCCTTTTACATGTCTTGGCCCCCACGGCAGGAGCATCCAATTAGGGGCGTCCCAAGGATTCAGGAGCTAGTTTCCCAAGTTGCGCACTTGGAGAACTAAAAAAATGCCTTAATGCGCTTAATATAATACTTTAATCCGGATATTGTTTTTTTAATAGCCACGAGACTTGTGAACTCCTTAAGGCCAAATTGGAAATGTGAACTCTTCATAGCTCTTGGCCAGCTAAAAATAGTTTTCGAATTTAATACTAAGCTGGGCCTTATGTTGCACTTCTTGCAACTAAAACGATGTACAAGAGTAGACGATTATATGCGCACCTAAGAAATATTACCAACTCGTTCGATTACCAAGTCTAAGAAGAACGAGAGAGAAATCCTCTTGCCCGGTAGAATCCTGGTCGGCCCGAGAACTGGGCCAACAACAATGACTTCTTATGGGCTCTTACGCTGCCCCACCGCCAATTTGTGTGGCGACCCTCGTGTCGCGAGCTTTGCCACTGACCTACTTACCGAAAAATGGCTGACTCGGCGCGGGGATGGACGTGGTGGTGGGAAAAGCAGGGAAGGCGAATGGCAAAGGAAAGGCGGCGGAAAAGCGAGTCTGTCTGCTAAGTCAGCGGAGGGGAGTGGGGCACAATGGGCTCCTTTGATCTGGCTGGACGCCGAGAACGTGGGCCAGGACTCATCGGAGGCATTTGGCGATGCCAAAAGCTGAAAAGTCGCGTCGCAAGGCGGCAATAATTGTCGCAAGGTGGCCCAGTCAAGGAAAAACACGCAGCCACATACACAGACAGACAGACATACATGCAAACAGACACACAGAGACACACATACACTCAAACAGAGAGACCGAGAGACAGACAAATAGAGAGACAGACACTTAAGGCGGCTCACTGGGGCGAAATGGACGTGGCAGGATGGAAGGTGAAGGGGTCCTGAGTGACAGTGATGACAATCAACAAAAGGACCCTCACACACACACACCAGCACACCAGCACACACACATGGAAAAAATGACAGGAAGCAGCGACGCCAGCGCTGACTGCAACCGAATTCAAAATCAAAATGAGAATCGCAAAATGCAAAATGTAAAACGCCGCAAATTGCTTGTAGGCAACACGGTCAACAACAACGACATCGCTGGCGACGGATGGCAAATGGAAATAGAAGATGAGCGGAAAAGCTGAGCGGTACCACGACGAAAAGCGGTTACTCTAGGCAAGCGAGTACCGCAGCTAGAAAATCTGTTAAATATATCAAAACCAGTAAAACATTCATAAATCCAAAAAGGTATTTTTACATCATTTCGCACAGAAAATACATGAGTAGCTTATTTGAAAACAAGATAAATGAACGATAGCCCTAATTAGTTGATCAGTAATAGAAGCACCAAAAGCCTGAATCATGTTCTTTAAGGTACACTTCTAAGTACCCACGTTTTTGAAAAACCATGCCAACCCGAATGATTCTAAAACCGCTTTCCACCCAGTGACTGCATTTTTGCTCTTCTCTTGTTGGCACAAAGGATGGGGAAGTGGAAGAGGAAGGGGAAGGGGAAACTGCAGCGAGGTGGAGACCACACACACGCACACATGCACACATACACAGTGACACAGTGAGAAAACAGGGTGAAGGACAATGCGTGCATAACGCTTATTGAAATAGTTCTCAAGTGAGTTCGACGCTGGCGTCGACGTCGTCCTCCTCGTCAACGTGGGCTTGCCAAATGGGCCGAGGAGGAGGGGCCAGGGGGGCCAGGGATGGGCCTGTGGTGGCCCTTGAGGTGGGCAGATTGCGGGTGGTCCATGCTAACTAGGAGGCTGCCATTTAATGCCCAGAGCCCAGAGCCCAGAGCCAAAACCAAAGCCAGAACCGGTTGAGACAGCTGATATTTGCAGGTTGTGCCCGCCTGCAACTGTTTGGGTATTACGCGGCTGTCTCCCGCACACTTCCACTACCAAACCAGCTCCGATACCACCACCACTACCAGGAGCACTACCTCTATCGCACTACCACTACTGCCACTTTGCACTTTCGCCAGCCGCCTCCCGCTATATAGCTGTTATATATCTGGCATCTAGTATCTGGTATCTGGTATCTGGCTGCCATTGCCGTGATTGTCAATACGCAATCCGTAATCCGGCGAAGGCTTAGGAAACCGAAAGAAGATAAGCAGCAGCTTACCAGCAGGGCTGCTCCTGCTGCCAACTTTTCTCGGTGGCGGCCTAAGTGGGTGGTTATGGCTCTGGTACTGCCTCTGGTTTTGCTTCTGGTTCTGGTTCTGATTCTGATTCAGATTCTGCAGCTGCGGCCAACGCCATCTCGTTGTGGTATTTATATTTGTTTTGATTTTATGCGCTGCCGTCTGAGGGCTGGGTGAGCAACCTGGCTCAGATTGCGTGCCTGCGCCCCCATTCCTGGCTAACAGCACAACAAAAAATCAAATAAAACACAACACAACACGACACAGCACAAAAAAAAAAAACATGGAACAGCAAGCAGCTGCTGCAGCCATCCTGTTGATCAACCTCCAACCAGCTTGCACAAAAAGCTGGGAAGTTTCAGGCCCACAATGTTCCCTGCTTTTCTCCGATTGAAAGCCGAATTTCCGCGCTTTCAATCGGCCCGTTCAACTCGCCTTCAATCCCTATAAAAGGAGGTGCGCCAGCCAGTTGCCACTCAGTTGCTCGTGGGCAGTCGAACGGCATGGACGTGTCGCAGCAGCAGCAGCAGCAGCATCAGCAGCAGCAGAATCAGTAGTTCTTGAACTGGCCAACAGTCCGCCAACCAGCAGCAACAGATCACACTGCCAAACTCTTCTGTTTTTTTTTTGAATTTTTTTTTTTTTTTCTGGTTGCTGGAGGGCTACAAAAAAGAAATAGGAATTCAAAGTGTGCTTGAAGTTTGAGTGGAGCTGCGATATTTGCATAGTACCGAACTTGTTAGTGGTATAAAACTCAAAAAAAAAAAAAAAATATTTATTCCAAAAAAGTGCGAGAATTCAGTTTCATTGCCGACGCAAAAAGGCGCAGCAACTTTGTGGCGCACAAAAGTAGGCAACAGAAGCGCCAACTTTCCTTGCTGGGTAAGTCTGTGTATGTGTGTGCGTGAGCGCTTATTTGCGTTTGCAAGTGTGCGTGGCAATGCCTTAAGCCCTTTGCCCAACTGCAACCGCTGAACGCATTTAAGTGCAGATTTATGTTTTGCTTCTCTCACTCAGATCCACCACCACCACAAAGCCACCCACCGAGCAACACTGCCAATTAAAGTTGCCACAGCAGCTGCCACACACACATTCACTGCCAAAAACGAAAAAACAAAAGACAAAAATCAGAAAACAAAAAACGAAACGAAACGAAACGAAAAAGGCCACTAAAGTAGCCAGCGAAGAAGGAAGCAGGAAAGACTTTGGCCAGCAGCTGAGTTATATTCCATAGTAGCGTATAAGTTTGTCGAAGAACCACTGCCACAGCAACAACTATCAACCAGCTTCAGCTACAGCAGCACTACCAGCAACGATAACAACGACAACGACTGCAACAACAAACAGAGCAACAGCAGCAGCAACAACGTGTTGCTGCCACAAAACGCAGCAGCCGCAACGAGAGCGTCATCTCTGCCCTTCGCACGCCTCTGCGGGTAAGTTGACATTTCATTTTCATTTTGAGTGCATTTTCCCGCCAACGACGACAATTCTCCTGCACCCCTAACCCCGTGCCACGCCCCCTCTTCGAGGGCGTTCGTGTGTGCGTGCCACTGCCGTTGTTAGCGTTTCTGTGTGTGTGCGTGTGTGTGCCGGGGTCAGCGCGTTATTACAAGTTATGTCCTGTGCTCGCAGCAACTCGCAGCTCGCAGCTCGATGCGGATTCAGATTGAACAACAATGGCCCTGGGAAGCCCTTTTTTCAGTTTCCAGTTGCAGTGCCAGTTGAGGACCGAAAAACGAACCCAATCTCAGAGCAAAGTGGCGGCAAAAGTCACGTTTTTCGAGTGGCAACACAACATTATTCAGATCCAACTTCCCAAGTCACAGCTCACGGCACCTAGTTGGCTCAAAATGTGTGGGTCAAATGTTAAACGGCCAGCAGTTAACGGCGGTGCACGGAGAAAAAGGATCAGGGACTCGGCAAGTAGAAATGTGTTAAAAGAAACCAAAAAAAGAAAACAATTAGGCAGCTGGAAAACTGCAGCAAATGTGGGGGTTGCCTAAAATAAAATATCAATTTCGTTTTGAGCGCAGTTATTAATCTTACAGCTTAAGTTTTAACATGATTAAAAGAAAAAACAAGAGTACAATTAAGAGTTTTGTTGCTTGAGGCTCATTATATGGCATTATTATATTATATGTTCGGAAAACTGTGGCTTTCCAGACGCTCCTCCCACTGCAATAGAGATATCCCCATGAGATCTCAATGGGCCGCGGGCCCACCAGTTTCTGCCCGTGGCTGTCCTGCCAGGACACTAAGGACACACACTTTGCATGTTTATCTCGCTGTGGGTGGCAATCCCGTTAAGCAATTTCGATAACTGCCGTGCGACAACGTCAACTGGTCATGCCAATTTATGGCCAAAGTTGCTGGGCCGTGCTGTGCATACAAATGTAAATTTAAATTGAAAATTAATCGGGCAGCGCAGGCGCTGCTCCCAGCGATAAGTTTTCGATTAAAAACCCGTCACAAGAAATAGAAGTGCTAAAAAAGGCGGAGAATTTGGCGGACTTCGAGGGGTTTCACTTACGGCTGCCCTGGGCTTTTAATTAAAAGCTTAATTGGAGTTCGGAAAAAATTAAATAAAACTATTGCGTAATTAAAAGCAAACAAAGCCCCAAAAACGCCAGTCGCCAAAAAGTGGTCAGCAAACAGCAGCAATGGCAACAGCAGGAGCGGCCATGTCCTGCCAAGGAAATTAAAAACTTAATGGTCACACAGGACACACATGGGAGGCTGTCAACGCGCAACGTTGGCCAAAGCCAACAAATGGGGCAAGTTTATCGTGTCGTCGGCTGCAAGTGTGTGTGCCCACTCCATGGGGCATCCCTGGCCTGGTGATTAGGCGGCAGCTCCTCCAGATTGGCGGGAGAGCTACCATGGTGCCGAAATAAACCAGCATAATCGAAGTGGGCAAAGTGTGATTTAAAAATAACAATGAATATAAATGAGCGCTGGCTGACAGGGTGTTATTAAGCAGTAAAGTTGGAATGGGCATTCGATTGAATAGGAATAGCCATTCTTTTGTTCCACAAAATACAAAAAAACAGATAGTGCAGAGTAAGCTTAAATAAAATTACTACTTTGTTAACTTCCCCCATGAAAATGCATAGCAGCATGCATCTAACTTTATAATTTTTCAAATTCGCCATAATTTATACTTTATACACCTTTAGCCTTTTTATACACGAAGCACGTATTTTTTAAGCACACTTTTCCCATTTGAAACCACTGTACTTGGATTCTGGGAATCTACTTAAACCTCGTCTTGAGTTGATTTCCTTTTACAGTTTGCTCACTCTTGTTGCTGGAAAACTTAATTTTCCGTCTGCCGAGTGTGGGTGTCCACATAAGTGCGACTGTATCTGTGTGTGAGTGTGGCTGTGTGGCTGTGTGTGTGCTGTATCCTGGCTGACAGGGCTTGTCCTGCTAGCTTGTCACTAAGGCCACATCATTTTGTGTGTAAATTAAAGACCCGGTAGTCCAGAACCGCCCAGAAAGTAGGCAAACTGACCACTCGCACACAACGACATATGTTGCACACACACCGATACAGCGACACAGCGACACACACACTGACATGCACACATGCAAGGATATTCATCTATGTCGCACATCGTTAAGCGCTGCCAGTTTGACTTAATTTGCGTTAAACTTTTTTGTTAAACATATCATTCGCCAGCCAGGCCCCGCCGCAAATCGCAAATATGGAGGAAATGGGCGGCCCCCAAAGAAAATAACCAAACGTGAAGCGGGAAATGTAAACAAAGGCATTAATCATGCCAGCACACATGCGGCAGCAGACGGGGATAGAGATAGATGGATCGTTGTGGAAAAAAGGATACGGGAGGAGGCGGCAAAAGCCCTAGCAGGTCCATTAAGCTACACTTCTGTTTTGCCTTTTGCCTTGGCTTACCCTGATTTTTTGTCCTGCGTTTCGGGGGGAAGACAAACAGGCCAAGTCACTCTCACATGGCGTTCCAGCTCCCCCATCGCCGCCAAAAGCTTGGCTACCCCCATGTTTGTTTAAATGACAAACTGCTGTTTGTTAACCGAATAAAATGGAAAGCCAAGCAGAAACTACACACAGCAGAAACACACACACACACCAGTGAGGGGCGGCAGGAACCTAAAATGTAAAACAAATCCACGGAAGGGTAAGGGCGACCGATCCGATCCGATCCGGGCTTCTATTTATTCGCCAGGCAAACTAAACCGCAATAACTGTAAGTGCTCGGCAAACAGCAGCGGCGAGGAGCTCGAAAACCAAAACCTAACAAGCGACAGTTGACAGTCGACACCCACACACACACACACACACACCCTCACATCCACAGGACACTACCGACCACACTGGGCCACCCTAGAGCCACCCTAGACCATGCCACCACGAGGCAGTCGTGTGTATCGGACTGGTCTGGCGAATTATTATGATAATCGCAGGCATAAATTATGCCTGAATCCGACTTCAACCGAGAGTGAGACGCCCACAGAATCCGGGCTCGGTGCAGGTGTCGCAGGTACAGTGAGCACTCTCGACAGGCACCGGGTGTTCCGGGCTCCTGCCCTCGATGGCTTTTATGTTGTGCCTTGGGGAAATTAAGTTTGTGTCATGTTTTGTGTCACACCACACTCACCACATGCCGCATGCCGCAGCTCGAAGCCAGGTGCTCGGTTCGAGTGCTCAGCCTTTCCCCCGAGCGCCCACAGTGCGTATGCGTGATATGCAAATACAGGAGCTCGCATGTGCTGGTCCAGCGAGCAACGCCCACTGTGCAGCAGCGGCTGCAACCCGAGGCTCACAACAATACGCTTCTTGCCACTGCCATTGCCATTGCCACTCCATCCTGACACAAAGCCATTAACGGGAGCGCGCTGTTTGCCCTTAAAGCTCCCTTTCTGTGTTCCACATATGTACGTCTATCTGCCGCCGCCTTTTTATACACTCCCGGGGGGAGGGGGGCCCCTGACTCGGGGGCAATTTATCAAGTATTTTATGCGAGTTTCAGCTGCCTGTCAACGTTGATTTTAGCGCTTAGCCGCGGGGGCTCGGGGGCAGAGGGGCAGTGGGAGTGGCGAGAGTGGCGGGCACAAATAAAACACACCTGTTGCCGCAGCCCACACGTCAATAATAATACACAAACACATATGCGCGCGCGGCACAGACACATGCTCGCTGTGTCCTGAGTGTCCTGGGTGTCCTGGGTGTCCTGTCGCATAATAAAACACCGCCGGACGAGGACGGGATTCGGTGTGGTGGCCAGGGAGCAGACTGGTAACACGATAACTCAGCCTTGTTTCCACTCTCCGCAGGTTCTGCAAGATGCAGCAGTATGCCAAGATTGTCAGGATTGCCAGGATCGCAACCAACTCTGCCCGGGCGTGTCACCGGCAAAGATTCTATGAACCCAATGCCGAAGTACGCTGGCTGCACTCCGAGCACTAAACAGGCTGAGCGGAGCCACTAGCACTCCGGATCCGACCAGGTACAACTCAGTCTGTACATGATACTTATACTTGTATATAGATATAGATATCCTGATTTCGCCCTGCCAAAAGCGCCTTCTTTATTTTCCCATTTGCCCACTGCCAACTTATTTACGGGCCGCAATTATTTCCAGCATTTTATTTTTACGTCTCTCTGGCAGTTGCTTTTCAATTTTTCGTTGATTTGTTTGTGCTGCCGCGTCGGCAATCAAAGCCCCAATTGTTACGCCAACTGCCCCGCCCCCATATCCTTTTGTGTGTGGGTGTGTGGGTGTGTGTTTGTGTGTTTGTGCTCGTGCTCGTGCTCGTGTTTCCTTTGCTCTTTGTTTTTATCGCGCTGTGCGCAAGTGAACGCTTCCGTTTCCGCTAGTCGCGTCACAGTCCGTTTGTCCAAGCGACCGCCGAGCCACCCACTCCTCCTATTTAAATTACATGGCAATCGGCATGCCAAAGCCATTCATTCATGAGCCTGAGAAACCGAGACACTGCGAGGCCCAGGGAGCCGACTATTTTTACAGGCAATTTCATTGGGGGACGCCTTACTTACTCAAATTAAACTCGATTCGCAGCGGCGGCAAAAGCGGAGGAACTATGATAACGAGGCTCTATAACACCGAAGAGGATCCCGCCTACTGCTCGTTCATCTGGGGCTCGAATCTCACCAGTAGCGTCGATGTCCTGGCTGCCAATGCCACGTCCGTCTTCAGCAGCGACCTGCGGGACGACTTCTATCGGGTGAGTGCGTTTTGGCCATTCAATAGTGCTAGTGATTCCGGTGATTCCGGTGATTCCGGTGATTCCGGGGTGCCTGCTGGACCAGCTCGCACCTTGGACCAGTTAGTTGGCCTGGCCTTCGCCAAGGATGCCTGCTGCGCAGAAAAGCGTTTGCCTACTTTGCGGCGCTGGGCGCTGGGCGCTGCGGGGAATGCTTTGAAGCAAAGACCAGGGCCAACTGGAGGGAGTAGCTCATTTCAGGACACAGCAGGCCCAGCTGCATGGCCTCTGTGGCCGGGACAGCCAGTTGCCAAGTTCCCCTAACTCCCTAAAGTCGTGCTAGCTCTTGGCACACAAAGTAAAGTTTAAAATTAAACTCTTTATGTTGACTTGGCAGCTTAACTTTTTGACAGAGAGTTGCGAAAATCGGAAGGTGGCAGAAAGCATGTGCCACGAACTACTGAGAAAGCCCCGCTTAACAACATTTTAAAATTTGTTTCAAGTTGCCACTTCGGATAATTAAATGCACATTTGGCAATGCACAATTTTAAATGTCTTACTGAGAATTGAACGAGATGCACATATGCTGTTTAAGTGCTGTCACATGGACAAAGATATAAAAATGCGTTTAAGTTGCAAGATCTGTTGTGCAACAAGCGCTTTTTGGATTTTCCACCATAGACTCGAAAATCATCTCACAACAAAGCGTAGAGCGTTTTCTTGTCAGCCTGTGAAGGCCAAAAGCCTTCATCTCACTAATGCAGGGTACTAAAAGTTGACCTAGCTGGCTGACAGACAGCCAAAAGCAAAAGGCAAAAAGCAAAACGCAAAAAGCAAAAAGCAAAAAGCAGCTTTGTTCGCAACTCTGGCTCAAGGCGAGCTGCGCGGCAAATGGGCGAATGCAAAAATAGAAAACAAAACGTGGCACTGTGGGGTGGCACACTGGGTGCCACACACATGTGGCAGCAAAGGAGCAAGCGACTTAGGAGCCAGAAGAATGCGGCATGCGAGGCATGCGAGGCATGCGTGTGTGTGTGCATAAAAAGTCACAAAATAAAAGTGTCAAGTTGACTATTGAATTTTTATCTGCGCCAGCCCATCCGAGTGCCAACAAAGCGGAGCCACAAAGAGATGATTTACGAGCTGTTCCCATTTCCATTTCCATTCCCACACCCCACCCCACCCCACACACACACACCCGTGCTTACATCCACTTGTTTACTATCCTTGCAGGATGTGGAGGATCCGCGGACGGAATCGCTGAGGGAATACTGCTACGGCCTGGTGTTGCCCATCATCTGCGCCATGGGCATCATAGGCAACGTGCTCAACCTGATTGTGCTCACCAGGCGCAACATGCGTGGCACCGCCTACATTTACATGAGGGGTAAGTGGAAGAGCACACACACACACTCGATTCCAAAAAGAGGCAATCATATCGGCTGGCGGAATGCCCATCAATCCGCAGTCGCACACAAGCCCATATTCAGATACTTCCTAATTTTAGTGACAGATAAGCTTGCGATAGATTTGCACTCTTTAATTTTTGGGCTCAAAACGACAGCCATTAATTGGGAGTCAATTTCGTACAGCAATTACTACATTTATGTTTGTGAAAAACCCAATGTGTAAATCAAAAATCCATGTCGATAAGCAGAGTCTTTTGACAAGCAACTAAAAATGTTATTCATTTTCACCCATCAGCCATATCAACCATACAATTAAAGATTCAATTTGTGTAAGCGGTAAGTCCTGAAAAAACAACTCTGCTGCAGTTCATTGTTATCATGTGTCCTGCATATCTGCATTTGATTAGACCACGATAACACATTTACATTTCTGCAATGTAAGCTGTATCGATTAACTCGTTTAGCAGCTAACTGTATTGAATTTGTTTGCAATCTCTGATTACAATGATTTATTGAACAATGGGCAGCACAATGGGCTAGCATGGCCATCAAATCTAAACAGTATGCATTTCCAATTAGTGCAGACCCAAACGTCCAGCATAATTCCACTGGCTTGTAAAGTTTCAGCCCCGCGGCGTCAAATGAATGTAGGTTGCCTCTTGATTATGTCGTTCTCCTAGTTTTCAAAAAAGCCGAAGAAAATCTGTTCGGCTTGCAGGGAAAATGAAGAACAAGCCAAATACCCTGCTCATTTCCCGTTTCGAGTATGATTGGCGATAACCCATATTGGGTTATGGCCCAAAAAGAGACGCCCACGCAAACATTGCCATTCTGGCTGAGATGGAGGTGGAGGTGGATTTGGAGGGCAGGGAATTGGGCTCGACTCTTGACTGATTGCCAAATTGAGTTTCGCTTTAGAACATATGTGCGAGTATTCCGTATTCCCCATCGCCATGTCTATTGGCCATTGTGCGCCAGAATTTATTCATTAACCTCGCCGATTTCTGGCAAAATTGAAGATGCCACAATGCGGCTAATGTATGCGCACCGTCGTATTCGCACTCCCATTCGCATTTGTATTAGTATTTGTATTTGTATACGTGTGCGTGCGGCGCTTCATTGAAAGTTATTTCATTAGATGAGACCGGTTAAACCCGTGGAAATTTATGCAGAGCCACTAAGCCCCAGCCACGCCCAGCCTCCAACTTTCTGCTGTATTAGACAGCATGTCAACTCTATTAGGCACTCGTTTGCTTTATGGCGCTTTAATTGATTAATGAGCGCCACTTTCGCCACTTTCGCCACTTTTCCAGCGGGCGGAAAGGAGGCAACTTTGTCAACGCCGCCACTTGCTGGTAATTTTTTAGCCTCGACTATCACTCATGGTGAACCCCCTATCCATGCCAAAAAAAAGCGGCAAGGCAGCGAACAAGGAAAACAGAAACAGGCGACTCACTTTACTTGTCATGGCAAAATTCCGCTCAAGTCGAAGCGAGAAATACCCTGGCCTACAGTGGTTGTACCCAATTGGTGACCCCGATTTTCGGGTTAAAGGCGTCGTAGTTCTTACACTGGTCACGGATTTCATTCTAAGTATTGAGTTATTGAAGTTCTTAAGATGTGTGTGTGTTGAACATATAGTCTTGTTTTCCAAGAAAATGTAACTTTTGATTAAAAACTGCTATCGGTCTTAGATCTGGATAGGCCACCTCGAGGCTCGTGCTTTGCCATTTACCGCCGATAAATCCTCGACTTTATGAGCTGCCATGGGCCAAAATGTGCGGCCGATCTGACTGGAATTTTAGTACCCCATAAAAGGGTATAGGGCGAGGGCGGGAGGTTCTTGCAAAATGCGAAAATAAAATGTAAAATGCTTCAAATGTAATGCGGATGCTATGGCGGCATAATTGATTGCCCTTTCGACTGCTGCCTCAGCCAACAAAAATAGGACAAAAAAGGACTAGAACCGTGCGGAGCGACGTGGTGAAAGTGGGGAAATGGCAATCCGGAGGAGAAATGCAAAGCGAGACCCTTTGGCTGCCGACTGACTGAAAAATATCACCAGCCTCAGCTCAGCTCAGCTCTGCTGCTCAAGTGGCAGTAAATAAAAGTTGTGAGGAGCCACGAGGCGGCATGAGTAATAATGACCGAAATCAGAGCAGCACCACCGCCCAGCGCTGCTCATTTTATTAAAATAACAAAAATATTTTGCCGCTCGCAGCCTTTTTGCGATGCCGAAGCGACTGGCGGCCCATTTGTTATTCGGCGGTCATTGCCACCAAATGGTGTCCTGTCGCACGTCCACATCCTGCTCCGTTCCACTGGGGCAACTCGTGTGTGCTTTGACCAAAGTTATGCAGCTGCGGATGGGCGAAAATGTTTCATTGTCAGCTGGGGAATGCCAAAGTGGCAGGCGGCCGATTCCCCGATCTTAGCTATTCAAATAAATTTAGGGAAAAGATCTGGCCCGGAGCACTCCATCACTGGTCCACCGATCCGTTAAGCCAATGCGGCTCATTCGAATGAAATGCCAGCGCTGACAAGGCAAACACTGGAGATTTGTATAATAAGCGGGTTGTGCCGGAGTTGGGAAGTTGGCAAGTTTGGCAGTGATGGGCAGGACACTTGTCACGCTTGGCGCAAACAAAACTGACATTTATATTGATGTGTCCCTGTACCCAATTAGATGCCCATCATTATGAGAGCAGGCTATCGCTGCTCGCGTGTCCTTCGTCCTTCGTCCTTCTGCTTTTGGGCTCGGGAAGTCATACATCGAACATTAGGCTCTGTTTGTGTGCAGAGCAATTTGGCGGGAAGCGGCTGCAGGAGGACGCACATGATATTAGTAATAATGTAATTATATGGTCATAAACAAAATAATAAATCAATAAACAACACATACGCACACGCACACGCACACGCAGACGGCACACGAGTAAAAGTTATCATGGGCAAAAAAGAGGAAGGAAGGAAAAATGGAAGGCAGCGCAGAGGAAGTGAAGAAAAGGGAACCGGAAAGGAAAGCCATTCATTTGGCCCTGCGACTCAAGTGCCGTTGTCTGCGTGCGCGAATGTGTGTGTGTGTGTGTGTGTGTGCGTGGCAGGACTTCCTGTTGCCACATGGACGGAAGCGGCGCCATAATTATGCCATAAACCCAACCATAAAGGACATTTTTATAGATTTGCCCGAGTTAATCCCTTTGTTGTACCACTCGCGCCCGCACCCATCTCTCATGTCCTTTTTATCCGCACATCCTTTCAGCTTACTCCACCGCCGCCCTCCTGGCCATCGTGTTCGCCATCCCCTTCGGCATCCGCATGCTGGTCCACAAGGATCGAGGCCAGTGGGAGGAGTTCGGACCAGCCTTCTACACCGCCCACTTGGAGCTTTATTTGGGCAACGGCTGTTTGGGTGAGTCTCGGATTTGGGATTTCCAACAGGAAGAGCTTTCAAGGTTCGAAGCTAACGTGAGAGGTTCAGAGGTTGGACTCAGCTTTAAGTTCAACCGGATTTATGTGCTACTAAAACTATATGAATCAATACGTTATGAAACCGTTTATGTACCATAAATGGATCATAATTTGCTTGGCTTATTAGAGCATATGGCAACCGTTCTTAAAATGTAGCAAAAAGTTATTTGTTTTAGATGCTACACAGATATCGATGCACTGAAAAATACTGGCAAAATATATTGTTGCATACTTTCGGACACCTCTACAAACTCCCTGTTACAATCCTCCTTCTATTGGTACCATTTAGTCTATAGAGAAAAATTCTGATATTCGACAATATTAACATGAAATATTTTTGTCCCATTTGCAACTTTATTGGACGAACTAGGAGTTGGCGTAATGATGTTACTAGTGCTGACCATTGAACGTTACGTGTCCGTGTGCCACCCCGGATTCGCTCGACCAGTGATGGGACCACCTGGGTAAGCCACGTTAGCAGTCTGTTGAGGGTCTAATTAATCGGACTTGATTCGTAATCAAAACCTAGCGTTGTGGTATTCCTCACCTGCTTGGCCACGGTAATCGTCTATCTACCGAGCATCTTTCGTGGCGAGCTGATCAAGTGCATCCTTGGATCGAGCGACGTGTATGTGTACTTGCGGCGCGACAATACGATCTACCAGCAGACCATCTTCTACCGCGTCTACAAGATCATGCTGGAGGTGATCTTCAAGTTGGTGCCCACGCTGGTGATCGGTGGCCTCAACATGCGCATCATGATGGTCTATCGGCGGACCTGCGAGCGCCGCCGCCAAATGGTGCTCACTCGCTCCCATGCCTACGGACATGGTCATGGACATGGACACGGCTATTTGAAGGACGACGATCCGCGAAAGTTCGCTGAGGAGCGGCGCCTGTTCCTGCTGCTCGGCAGCACATCGATCTTGTTCCTGGTCTGCGTCTCGCCGATGGCCATACTCCACATGACGATCGCCTCGGAGGTCTATCCGAGCTTCCCCTTCCAGGTGTTCCGTGCCAGCGCCAATCTGCTGGAGTTGATCAACTACTCGCTGACCTTCTACATCTACTGCCTGTTCAGCGAGGACTTCCGCAACACCCTGGTGCGCACCATCAAGTGGCCCTGGTTGAAGGGCAAGTTCTGTCATCAGGGCGAGCACGAGGTGAGTGCCAGTCCACCGGCCACAGCCGGAACCGTAGCGGTAGCCGGAATCGGAACCGGAACCGGAACCGGAACTGGCAACGTATCACATTTTCATCCGGTAATACCGGCGCTGACTCTCACCCCCGCAGAACCCAAGGACCGGCACCGGTGTGCCAATGGCGTGCTTCACTAAGGTGGACAGGGGCCATCACAAGCACCACATAACCACCACCTCGGGCCTGGGAAGATCGAGTAGCATTTAGCCAACGCCTACAACCCAACACCATCGCCACAATCCATCCGCTACTCGAGATCCGACTTCCGAACCCCGAGAACCCTCCCAGCCCAGAGTAACCCCACCAGCATCCAACTCCTCAACCGTCACCAACAACACCACCCCCGCCATATCCACTTCCCCCCAGGTCGACGTGGGTGGAGGGCCACTTTCTCTCGCTTGAGATCCTGCGGCATTCGAAAGTGTTCAAATATCGATAAGCCGATATACGATGAACAACTAACAATTAACGATAATTGATATTCAGCGCCACGCATTGCGTATATAAGTGTCTGTGTATGTGTGTGTTCCTTAAACATATATATTTAAATATATGGATAAAATTTTTTTTGTAGCACTAGGATTAGGGATTTCAAAACTATACTTAATCAAAAACACATCAGTAATCGGTGAAATAAATAATATCGATAGGTAAAACCAGTTCGACTTTCGATCAACACATGCGCCAAATGATTTCATCACATACAGCTAGCGGAATGTGTATGTCGCAGGATCCTTAAACCACACGTACAGATGCAGATATGCTAGTTTTATCAATGGATAGATTGCTTGCCATAATGATAACCAAACAGCTTGTATACTCCAGACAGAAACAGAAACAGGAACCGAAACAGGATCAGAAACAGGAACAAGACAACAACTGACAGACATATAGACGACATAGAGACAGACATATAGACAGACATATAGACGCATATAGACAGACATATAGACAGACATATAGACAGACAGGTGGGACAGAACAACAGCGAGAGAGAGAGTGCGAGACGTTGATAATATACAGACATACAATACTTATATATACACTTGCATATATCTATATGTGAATGATATTTATGTGAACGACGTATTTATGTATACACGCGTAACTTTAAGCGAATATATTTATATATGCATATACGTATCTATTGATTATAGCATTTAAGTGTGCGCAAGAGGAATCCCAATTCCAACCTGGGCCCAGATATAGGTCCAGATCCAAATCCAGATCGAGATCGAGGATGGATATCTGACAACGTGCTGAGCCCTTTCGTCTGACGAAACTGTATTGAATTGTTGCGTGAATTGAGATTGAATTGTTAATTGTTAAGTTAATTAATTGTAGTCGCACTACAAATAGTTCTATTTTTAATTCTAGTTATAATTGGAGGTCTAAGTTATCTAGTTACATAGTACAATTAACCGCCCTTGGTTGTCAGTCTGAAAGGGGAGGTCGAGGCCCCGGTATACCCTTGACCCCTGACCCCTGACCCCTGGCCGAATGACCCCTTGCAGCACGCGTGGCTAACTTAACTAAATGTGTGTACCTAGTATTAAAACAAAGCAAAGCAACCGAAACTGTTCAGTGATGTCTATTTACCCGGCGTTCAAGGCTAAGCTATAGAATGCATTGCAGTAATCTCACAAATATCTAAATGTATATCTAGCTAACGATGGATCAAGATTAGCGATATCCTCTAGACAGTATACTAATGATGAGTAGAGGCGAAGGAATGGATCAAAACTTTTCAAATTGCAGATGAGGTTCGAGATTATATATCCAATTTGGCAGCGATTTCGAAAATATATCCGGAAACAAATTCTGAAACATAATAGTTGAGACCTCCTTTAAAATTCAAATAACATTCGTAATGATTCCTTGAATTTTTTTCTAGCTATTTGACAAATATTCTAAAAATGTTGAAGTTAATAACTTCAAGTGCTTTAAATACAAGTTTGAAATGTGAGTAAACAGCTTTTCCAGATCTAACCCCAAGTCTTTACAAAATCAAACAATATACTTGCCACGATATCGACGAATATCCCATATGTGGCAGCTACTCAAAGGTGAATAAACGTAGATCCTTTTGTTTTCGTTTTCCAGAGCTCAGCTCAAAGCCAAGAGAGAAATTAATGTTTAGGAAATTAGATGATCGAATTGAAAAAAAGAAGAAAATTAAAAATTGCATGGGAAATGGGAAATGTGAAAGGTGAAAAGTGAAAAGTGAAAAGTCAGACATTTGAAGGCATTTAGGACACCAAAAATCCGGAAATCAGAACAGGCATTACGTCGGCAAACGAAGAATATCCATAAATAGAGTCAGAGCAGCGTGAACGAAGGCAGTTGGAGTTAAAACGAATTAGCCATTCAATACAATGCATAACTTACTTACCATAAACAGCATTCAATATCCGTTACGAGTAAACAATTTTAATTGGTGTCAAAGTTCAATGAATAAAAATCTATAAAAATGTATCTGCAGACTTTCATTTCGAGTGACAGGGCTGAATGGAAAGCAACAAACAAACAGTACTGTTTCCAAAAAAAACTTTATTACTTAGCTATTATTAACAGGAAAAAAAATAAAGTCGGTTTGTGGAGGCGTGGGAAAATGGAAGAGCAGCGCGATCATCACACAGCAGCAGGAATAATACCGAATGCGTTCTTAAAGCTAACCTTAGACTAGTCTCAGTTCCCGGATTTCTCTCTCTCTCTCTCTCCCCCCTATCTATCTATCTCTCTCATTCTCCTAGGCGTGGGAGAATCCCCCTACCAAGGTCGCCACACCACCATTCGCTGCTGCACCAGCTCCGCCAGCTGGCGCTGCCGCTGCCGCTTTCTCTCGAAGATCTGGTGGCGAATCTTCAGCAGGATGCTATCACGTGGCGCCTGCCCAGTTGCTCCGTGGGACTTGGCGGGCGAGGATTGCTGCAGCTGCTCTATGAACGCCAGGTCCATCTCGTGCTCCTTCTCCGGCATCTGCTCCTGATCGTTATCCTGATCGACAGCCAGATTGCATTGGTACTGCAGCTTGAAACGCTGACGCTGGAGGCGAAATGTTGGTATAGAGTTCTATTAGATATAAGATATATTCAGTATGATTTTCACTATGCTTCTGTTAGACTTTGAGATAAACGTGCTACTCAAAATGAAATTGTGATTTATCGTGTGATTTTTCTGATATAAATACTACATTTTATTGGAACCTCTTCGATTGAATTACAAATTATAATGAAAGATGGATGAGGAGATAATTCGCAAGGTTTGTTTTACACACGTCATAAAATATTACTTTAAAATATTTCTTTTTAATAAGCCCGATTCACAATAAACATTAGTGGTTGGATTTGCCGCACTCACCTTTTTCCGCGCCGCATTCTCGGCAAGAAATCTGCAAAGCTGCTGCAACTGCTGCTCGGCCAGCTCCTCCTTATCCTTATCGATGTGACTCTGGCTCTGATCCTGCTCCGGCTCCTGGTCCCGCACCTCCACCATGTGATCCTCCAGGCGGCGCTGCTGCTGGCGCTGCTTGATGGCCGCCTGCACCTTGCACCTGGTGGCCGAGCTCAGGCTGAGATCCATGCTGCGTTGCTGCTTGAGTATCTTGTAGATGACGCCCATCGAGGTTGTGGCTCTGCGGTATCTCCGATCTGTAAATGCCCGATATTCGAGCGCGTCGAGCGGCGGCGGAAGACTGTTTCGAACCGCTCGGCCACCACGTCTTATATGAGCTCTCTCCGGGCTTGTTTGGAGATCGATTCTCTGCAGGATTAAAAATAAAACATAACTCGTGGGCCCATGTGTTGCTGGTGCGGCACATTGCGCGCCAAACTCAAAACTCCCGCTTTATGGGACATTGCTCAAGTGGAGTCGATTCTATTTTCTGCTCTCATTACAATGCCTTTTAGCTGCCCAACGCACAACACATGTGGCAGCACCAGCGCCGCACAATCGCCCCAAAAATAGACCCTCTCACACAGCTGCAACACTTTCGCCGCTGCACCGACCGCTGCCACATGCAACATCCAGCGGCATCGCCAGCGGCGCATGTGGCCGTCGCGCAGTCAAAGTCCCATTTCCAATTCCAATTCCATCTCCGCATCCACATCCAAAATCCGGGTTCTGCTCCTGCTCCTCCGCCATACATCCATTCCCAAATCTCGAACCGAATTTTTCCGTGGCAGTCTGCTGCGAGAAACCGCATGTTTTGGCGCCTGTTTGCGGATTGACAGGGTAGCAGGGGCATGCTATGCCTACTAGTTAGGATGGCATAATATTAAGTATTTTTTTTTTCCTCAATATAAGTATGCATGGAAGGTAATAATTTACAAAGAATATTATTACAAAATGTGTTATATATGTATACATTTTTGGGTCTTAAATGTTGGAATCATATAAAAAGTTAATCATATTAATGTGTTATTAATTATTTAGTATTTTAATATAATATTCGTATACTTACACTAAGATATGAAATATAATTATCGAAAAAAATACGTAATATAAATACTATAGCACTCCAACAGTAGCTCGTGGCTCCATCTAGAAATTCTTCCAGTACAGGGTACTCCGCGATCGGGAAACGCTTCGAATGCAGCGTCGTGTCGAGCGTCATAATCGTAGTGCCGCAAGATGGGATCCGATCGGATTGGATGGGATCGGATCGGATCGGATCGGATTGGATCGGCGACGGGATAGATATTATTAATAGCGCCTGGGAAAAAACACTTTGCAGCAGCCACTCATCTGTGTGTCTGTGTGTGTGTCTGTGTCACGGCATGCACTTGAACTCTGCATTCACATGTTGTGTGTGCCATGCAACCCACTCGCTGCCTCTCCCTCTCGCTCCGGCAGCGCAGCGCTCTCGCTCTCGCTCTCGCTCGCACCCCGGTACTCGTACCGCCGCATGCCTGACGTGCCTGCGCCTGGCCCTATATATATATCACCGTATATTATTGTGGGTCTATCTGCTATTTTGTTTGGACTTCAAGATGTTTCAGAGTGCACTTCAAGTGCGTTACAATTTGTGTCTATTTTTGGCCGCTTGGGAATATCTCGGGGAATACACATAGCTCGTTTTTGTGGCTGGGAAACGGGAGTGGAGCGTATTAAGCGCGCAGATAACGGGCATTTTTATAATGTAAATCATTGCCGACAACCCCATCAGCATCGGTTCAAGATGGGCCATAATTGAAACATTTTAATGAGCGAGTTTATAGGCGTTTCGGCCCAATGTCCGCGGCATTAGAGTCCCTCGATGGGGCAGAGAAATGCCTGACTGTCGCATTGATAAGAGCGCACAGTGGGCCAACATCAACGAGGCAACAGGTTAGTTTTACAAAAATTATCTTATATTTGATGTTACTTTGATATCATGTTTTAATGACAGACTTTTTCCTGACTAATTTTTAGCTACTATAAAAAAACAATATATAACGCAACTGTGATGTGCTGTTTTGCACCCACTGTGCCCCTGAAGATCCCCTTTTGAGCGCTGCTCCTTGAGTGCGCCATGCGCATGTTCTTGGATTTCAGATGAATACATGTTTGTAAGTCCCATTAGCCGGGGATTGGGGACTAAAACGTCTGTTACAAATGTAATTTCGATACTGCAGTTCCACTCGGGAAGGAAATTGAAGCCCTTCACTTGACTCAGTTCGCTTGGCTTCACTTGCGCGCTTATCTGTCGTCTGGGCTGCGGGGACAACCCTTGGAGTGACAATTAGCTGTTGTCCTGGGAAAACAGTTCCCACAACTTGGTTCGAGTGTACGTGATATGGCAGAGGGATCTTTCGTAGAAGCGCAACCGTAGCGAACCCAACAAGTGCAGGTCCCTGAGAGGGTAATAAAAATATGTCGCCCTATCGCTCGGCTTGTCCCGGGCTAATCGATACTCGATACGATCCATAATTTATGTGCTACGCGTCTATTTCTGGACTTCCGCCACTCTCTCCTCCCATCGCTTGAGGTCTTCGAAAGCTGAAAGTTGCGGCTTGAAGATCTGGATCTGGAAGCCCGGCCGTAAGCCCTGTGACCCACTGATGCCAACGCATCGTTGGGCGCCAAATGTGGATGAGTTGTCAATGCCACGCGGTGTGGCCCCCCGAAGAGCGCGCCAATTTCCGCCGCCCTACGTCCCATCAACACGCATTATTTCCCACGCTCCCGGCAAGAAGTTTTGGAATGGGCAGGGAATGGGTGCTTCGGAGTGTGGTATCCACTAGGGGGAATCCCTGACAAGTTGTCAGCGGGGCTGTTAATGAGCTGCGTGTGTTGAGTGAAAGCGTGATGAATCTACACTGCCTCGGCCCAGGAACGTGTAAGTAATCCCCGAGTTCTCGAAGATCAGAAGAGATCCAAACAAGATCTCAGATCCAAGTCATAGAACACTTGGCATAATAGTCTATCAACTTCTAGGGTTTCCCCTAAAGTCTTCGTACCTTTAGGACAACTTTTAGTCTCTTCAGGTCAGTTCATTATATTCATTCCATTCAATAAAATACGTGTTTTAAGTAACCTATGATCCCCTTTGAGTAAGTTCTTTGGAGAATAATAACTATGCTAAACCAGCTATTTGAAGTCCGAGCTTGAATACCCTGCTGTAAGGGTATGCCAAGTTGCGTTGCAAGTTGCGCACGAGCAGACAGCGACAAGTATGTGATGATCTGGGATCGGAGCAAAGTTCTCTGGCACACAACATGTGGCGACTCGCCTGCCACGCCCCCCGTCCCAGTGGCAGTGTCATGTGTGGCGTTTAATAGCTTGCCTCAGCAGCTTGCCGCACTCGCGTGCAGCATGGAAAGTGGGGATCGAGCGTGGGAAACGCTGGGAAGCGCTTGCCGCAATCTCAAAAGGCCATTTGAAAAGCCCGAGATCAACGAAAACAAAGGCGGCAACGCAGATACTTCAGCTGGCGCAAAAGCCATCGCAGAAAACCAAATAAACAGAAGCGCTCAGAACCAGATTCTCCGCAGCTTTGGCTCCAACTGAGGTTGTATAATAGTCGGGTGCACGGGAAAAAATATTTCACAACGCGAATAACATAAGAAAAGCGTGAATGAGCAGCAGAAATGTTATATTATACAATAAATAAATATACATATACTTCATCCAACTGAAATATTTAATACTATACTCTGTACTATAAAATAAATATTATGCGTAAACAAATCTGAAATCATTTTAGGAAGTGCAGCTTCGTTTGTATACAAGTTTATGCCACAAAAAACTATCCATTTTTCGGTGAATTATTTTGGAGTCCCCCATTTCGACTTCCGCTTGACCACCCAAGTATCCAACAACCACCAAGTATCACCAAGGTTTACTTTGCGATTCCTAGGATCCCTAAGTAAGGTGCCCATGAGCCGGCGACAAATGTTGCCCCTTTCCTCAATTGATTGCATAAGCTGTCAGAAATCGGAGACGGTTAGTGCAAGACAAGTTAATAAGTATTGGGCGACTGAACAATACCTCGCAGTATGCAGTTCTCAAGGCCAAAACAAATGAGTAATACGAAAGATACAAATTATGCAGAGTGGCTGCAAAGAAAAACGCGGGGAGCACTTGAAGATCCAAACGAGTACATGGGATGCGCCTTTACTTTCATATAACCAATATGCCCCGAACCCGCTGCCCGCTGCTTAGGGTGTATCTAAGCCGTCGCTGCTGCTCCACTTGGGAGCAGCCATTCAGTCGCTCGAGATCCGGAGCTGGAGCTGGGCCAGGCTTACGATGGCAGGTCCCGAGGAGCAGGAGTCCCATAATGGGGCAAAGGCGCATTCCTCGTCAAGATCGCATCATTACCGCAAGGTGTTCAAGCCACTGCTGGAGAAGAAGAGGCGGGCGCGGATTAACCGCAGCGTGGAGGATATGAAGGACTTGCTTCAGGAGGTGACCCACCTGGTGAGTGGCGTTGCATTGACCTCTGACCCAGGGTCATGTTCGAAAATGTTTTCAGGACGCCGAAGCCTTGGCCAAAATGGAAAAAGCAGACGTCCTTGAACTGGCCATTCACCACCTGCGTAGGAAACACAATCCTGCGGCTACATCCGGTGTATATCAGAGCCCCATGGACAGCTATTGGTGTGGCTTTCGAGAATGCGTCCTGGAAGTGTTCGAAATTCTGCAGCACAACGGTTATCAGCTGAACATCGAGTGCGCTGAGAAACTGGAGCAGCTTGTGCCCTCCAAATTCAAGTCCAAGCCCATTCCCTGGAGGCCCTGGTAGTCGTCATGGAGAATTTCCACGAAAGTTCCCAATGGGGATTAGTTCCCGATTATTCGGGGTAGGTATTTATTATTTAATCGAACAACGAAGCGCTGAAATAAAACTGCACACTCGATTTTTTTGCTTTAAGTTTATCTTTTCTTTTCGCAATAATTCCAAAAACTTGTTAGGTATGTGTTTGGTGTAGAATGTAGAATGTAGAATGTGTGTAGTGTGGAGAATGGGCTTCAATCGGGGGTTTAAGTTTAGAATCGATTTAATTGTTAATAAACATTGCTTAATGCATTCGAATGCTAAATAAGTATTGCTTATGTTGAATATAATGCACACAAAGTAAGGTTTTCTCTGCTATCAGTATCGTAACGTTATCAATGTAGTAGCTTACTAGATACCCAAAAAAATACATATCAATAGAGTAGTCGACAAAAGGTGTTTTTGAGATTAACGTTAAGCTTCCTATAAGCTTATTGGCTTTTATAGCAATACATGTGAGTATGGGATTTTCTTATAATCTACGCTGAATTTTTCGTCGGGGTTTTCAACTTTACGCCGCTGTATGTACAATATATGTAGCTCACAATAATTTAAAGTTTGAGTGTAAGAAGCGCGAAAATTGATTGTTGCTGCAGTTTGTTTAAACTTGGTTTGCCATCGACCTGTTGATTTGTATCTGTTGCATATATGTATAGGTATACTCATAGTTTCGTATATTTAGATATCGATATCTCCTCAGCTTCGCTTGATTTACTCGTTTTTTATTTCACTTCTTTCGAGGACAGGAAGGCATGCAATCTTGTGCAGTGTAAGTGTGAGTGTCTTCTTAAATTCAAATCGTTTCCAACAATAAATCTATGCAAAAACAATTTGCAAATTGCACAAGTAAAATACACATGGGGACTTCTATATAATAATAGATGTATATAATTATCATTATCTGTGTGTGTATATATATATTCATATATATATATATTTCTCTCTCTATATATAGGTGTGTATATCAATTTATTTGGCCATTATCTAGGTATATTTAAATACGGGTGTACAACTAGAAATATGTATCGGGTGCTGGGCAATCAAAAAAATATGGTGGAAACCTCGGAATCGGATTTGGAATCGGAATAGAGATGAGATAAGCATTATCTAGGGCCGATCCAATCTGAAACCTCAGCTAGCATATCGATTTCGGTAAAAGTTTGGATTTCTAAGCGGGAAGCTAACTGTGGAGATTCTACAAGGCAACACTACAATTTGGGATGAATGCTGATGAGGGCGTTGGATTGGATGGGATAGATAGGGATAATTGGATATGGATCTTATAAACGTGTTCAGTTAACTGGCTACTGAGATAATATCTTTACAATAACGCTTCCTTTACAATCTAAAGCTGAACCACATATAAAATATAGAAATTATTTTAGCATGGTGATTAGATGGCTCTTCTTGTGAATTAGAAGGGGAAGAAGCTCATCAAACGAAAAGGATAATCAAACCGAAAATCATATGTGTGTATCAGAGAGAGATGGAGCGATAGAGAGAGAGATGGAGCGATAGAGAGAGAGTGAGAGAGAGATGACTGGGTGATAGATTCGTTTGTTTTTTGGTAAGGCATTATAGGGATTTCCCCCCTTACGATATAGTTTCAAGCTCTGGTGATGTGTAAAAACAAGTACAAATACGAGTAGAAATACACAATTTGATATTATCGTTGCTCTGGTAAGGCATGCACAATAAACACATAGAAAAGGATTAAAGTTCTATCAAAGATTCTTCTAAGAGTGGCCTCCTCCGCTGCCCGATGAGATGATATCTTGGGGTGCAGGGGTGATTGGAACCATTAGATGGTCTGCAGCAAAATCAGGTTGATTGTCAAGCTCGATGCGAGGAAGAATGAAGAATGGAGACTGAAGAATCGGGCATCCAAGAGGAGTACCCAAGCCGCATGCTTCATAGCGCTACGTTATCCACATGCAAGTTTGTCCACAACTTTTCAGGACTCTTGAGGACTTTGAGTTAATAGAGTCGATTATCCGATTAGCTTGAGAGTAAATAGGTCTGTGTATCAGTGTGTGGCGACTTTGGCTTAATTGTAGCTTCAATTTCGATTATCAACACGTTCGATTATCAACAGTTAGAGCAGCTGGCCCGGCAAAAAAAAAATGTATATATAATAACAATGGAGGGGCGTCTAAGCCAATAGCGAATAAGTATCGGTACAAGTACCAGTATATATGTAGATATTATAGGCATAAGTGCCAGTAGGCGGTGCTGCTTTATGTATTATTCATATTTTTGGGTCGAGTAGCTGTAGCTTCAGTTGACTCTAGTTTTTGGTTTTCGCAAAAAAATTGCAACTATTCACTGGCCTAATTAATCGGCGACTCTTTGCGATAGTTGTCAACTTGAGTTTCTCGTTTGCTTGGCAAGCATTTCAATAAAAATGCCTAAGATCATCATAGAGCAAGTGCCTAATAGTTAATTAATGTAGGTTTTCATTTATTAAATACCTATATTCATCCACGCTGCCGCATACACAAATACGAGTTAAATATTGGTTTAAAAAAGCGTTTTTGACGACTTAGATTGGTGTTGTTTTGCTTTCCACTAATTTACGAATTGTTCATTAACCAGTTTTGTTTTTCAGCTTTATGCGGCTGCGCTGTTTGTTGTTAATAGAAAATCATGTATATATGCGTAAATAATTAGCTATTAGTTGGAATTTCACTTAAGACGAGTTCTCAAGGGTCTAAACTCTGTGTGTGTGCGTGTGTGTGTGTGTGTGTGTATGTGGTGGTGTGGTTGTGTGTGGGAGGTTGGGGAGGATGGGCGCTATCGAACTGACCCCCCAAAAAGGTCAAATGGCATATGGTACACGGGCGTGGTGAGGACGTGCTTGTGGGGCGACCTTTGACCCTCCGGATCCTTGATTCGTTGTTGCCTCCCAACGCCGTCCCTATCGCTCCCGCCCCGCCCCTCCTCCGCACGACTACAGGTCCCGCGGTTAATCACCACCTAAACTTAACGCCTGCACTATACGTGGATCAGCTTTACTGCCCTCGCGGAACTCCTCCAGCGTCAGTCGATCGTCGTGGTTCTTGTCCATCTGATCGAAGATCTTGTCCACCCGCTTCTGCGGCGTGTTCTCGTCCTCCGTCTGCGGCTGTTGTCCCTGCAAGCGAGTGTTCACTGTAGCTCATGCATATAGTAAGGTTGCAGCGATACTTACTACCATCTGGTAGATGGCGTCCACTATGTTGTACATCTCCTCGCGGGTTATGTAGCCATCGTTGTCCACGTCGTACAGCCGGAAAGCCCCTGGGAAATAGTAAAGGATTACATTAGTTATGAGGCATTGAAATCAAAACTATTAAACTAGTATTTGATCTATCATAATATTTACAGTGTAGGAATAGTTAGATATTACTAATATTTCACTGCATCAGGCAAGTAAAACTTACAGTGCAGCTTCTCGTCCAGGTTTCCGCGTGATGTGATGGACAGGGCCCGAATGAACTCCTCGAACTCAATGGCGCCATCCTGTGGATTCGCAGATGTGCAGATATGTAGATAAGATATATATAGTCACACGTCGGCATATCGCCGTACTTACGTTATTCTCGTCGAAGACACGAAAGACCAGGGAGGCAAACTTGCTGGGGTCTCCGTCGGGGAAGAATTGCTTATAGATTTTGATGAAGCCCTGCGGATGGACAGAGCGAGAGGGCACGAGAAACAGACAGAGAGGGGAGATGGCAGGAGAGCGGTTAGACAAGTAAATGTTTGCTATTGCCGTCGACTGGGGTTTAGTGTTCAGTGTTCGCTGTTCGGTGTTCAGTGTTCAGAGTTGAGTAAGCAAGTCAGAACTAGACACATAAAGTAGCATTAGAGTGAAAATTTCGAAATTCTGCAGTTAAGTGAAATAAACGACTCGCACGAATGGATGGGTGGTGTATCTCAGTTTCATGTGGGATTTGGTTCTTTGCCGGCGATAGCTGAAGATACCTTATAGCGTTCGTATACTTCTATGGGAATGTGCAGTAAGTGTGAGCTGGATGTGGGGGAAATTTATGGGGCAACTGCTGCTCCTCGTCTGAGGGACGAAAATGCAGTTTATTTGCTGACGTTGCAGCTGTGAATCGAACGACTTGAAAATGTCAAATCGATGAATGGATTACCCCGCCTCCGGAGTCCACAGGCGGATGTCCAAAGTACGGACTTCGTGCTGCATGTACAACTTGTATTTATTTTATTCAAGCCACAAAAGTCAGCCACAAAAAAGCACCGAACGTCGAAAATAAGGACAAACCGCATTCAGGATTTCGGGCCAGAGTGTGGCTTAAATATATAAATGTGTGTAAAATACTTGTATGCGAGTATATGCAGTTTGCCGGGGATGACCCGAAATAAGAGGATTCCGTTTGTGGTCGCTTATGATGAAAGCCAGGCGAATGGTGACAATGGATAATGGTGCTGAAGATGATGATGGTGATGATGGAGGGGGGCTCAAATTGGAAGGGTACTCACTTGTTCGGTCAGCAAGCCATTCGGACAGTCTTTGAGAAAGCCCTTGTGCCTTCGATGTGTCAGAGGTCAGAGGTCGGGATAGCGGATAGCATAGCACACAGAGTTCACAGGAAGAGACAGCGGGTTTATAGAGAGACGGGGCGAGATAAACAAATTAGCATAAAGGAGAAAAAGAGAGAGAGAGAGGGCGAGAGAGAGAGAGAGGGTGAGGGAGACAGAGATGGGGGACAGAGCGGTGCCCAGAAATAATACGAATCAGGAATAAAATTAAAAACCAATAATTGAGGCAGCACACAACAAATGAAAGATAAATATTGGCTCCGGAAAATGTTTACCTCCGGGAAATCACTCGCACTCGCACGCTTTTGCATTTTGCATTTGCATTTGCATTTTAAATTCTATTTACATTTTATTTCGCGCTGCCATTAATTTCAACTTTTCCCAGTGCAACCGCAGCCAGCGAGCCGAAATGTGCTGCAATTCCACCATTAATTACAGCCACACAAAACGCAGCGAAAATGAAACATTTAAGTCCTGGGCGCGCGTAATCGAATTGAAAGAGTAAATGAAAATGGAAATGCCGTAACCCAAAGGGATACGAATCGAAGCCGAACCCACAAATAGAGGAAGCCCGTGCTGTGTTGTGCGAGAAATCCGTGGAAATACTTACCATTGGCGAATTTCCTTTTCAGTGACTGCAACGAGAGGCAAATGACAGAATTTCCAGATTAGTTGAGCAATTGCAAAGGGAACAATAAAGCAGCCAGCTAAACGGCCGCACTTAGTTGCGCCTCAAGGCTCCCGAGGCCATCATTCTTAATATGTATCAACAGCGAGCCACCAGCACACCGATATCAATCCACCCATCGCCATCGTAGAGCATCCTTAGCAGTCCCAAAACCTTCCCATCCTCCCATCCAGCATTCAAGTGCCTTTGCTGAGCCGCTGAGTTATGGCGGCTTAGGTTCGCCTAAGGCCAGACTGCCCTTGGAGATTGATGGCGTTCACTTGACAGGCTTAGCGGACACGTCCTGCTCCGCATCCCCATCCCATCCATATTTGTGCTTTTGCTGATGCGAGCGCCACGCTGCGTATGAGTAATATGCAAGCACAATTTACGGCCAGCCAAACGGGAAGTGCATCAGCCACGGTGAGTGCACAACTCATTTAATAAATCATTTCATTAATTACAGCCTTTCAGAGTTGCCTTCACGTACACGTGATGTACATAGGTGTGTACAGAGCTATTTGGCTATCTGATAGATACAACAACGCGCAGTGAATCGCTTAGAGCTTTAATAAACAGGCATAATCAAATGGTTGCAGGCTGTCATTAAGCTAACACAACTAAGCCAGCCACTAATAAATAAGCGTTTTTCCAGCGTGTAATATAATTTGCCTTGCTCACAGTTTTGTAAATTCAACCTTAAATTCGATAGGCTTTTATTGAGTATACTTTACGCATATGTACTCCATTTTAGCCCATAGTTATGTGGGCTAAAACCACTTTGAAAATGAAAAACAAAGCGGAGCTGGCCCGCTGATGATGATGGAGCCGAGCAGCTCTGATGATGGGGCGCTTGGGCAATAGCCCGCCAATAGGTAGACCCATTTACTCCCGGTGAATGTGCCCCACGTTGGCGCCCAAGTCAGCTTCAGCTGCTGCACGCAATTGAAATTGGCCGCAGCCTATGTCCATGGCATATAGACGAGCACATCTAGATACACTTGTTTATGCTTGTGTACGTGTGTATCTGAATAACCCAGAGATTGCCCCGCAGGCTTGTTAAAAGTCTGCGCACGCCAACGCGTCGACTAAGTAAGCTCCAAGGAGCGTTATCCTTGCCGCTGCCGCTGCCGCTGCCGCTGTCGACCGACGACTTTTACTGCGGCTACATGAATAATACATATCGCCGGCTGATGTGCTGGTGTTTGTGTAGCGCCGGCAGCTGTAAGGCAAATTAGTACGCAGTCCCACTTGGCAGGACAGCGGGGGTGGTGCGGGTCCTGGCAAAATTATTTCGATTTAAATGTTTATTTGCACAAGGCGGCGCTCGTTTTTTTCGGAGCAAGCTGTTTGGGGCCCGCAGCGTTTATGCAATCTTACTTATATTTTTTTGGGGCGCACAAAAAGAGCCGAAAGTGCCGCCAGCTTGGCCTCTTTGTATTTACTCAATTTCATTTTTAAACTGATTTAATTTCAACTTTTCACAAACACACGCACGCACACACTGAGTGCGAAAGGATGGCGACGCAGCAAGGACCTCCCGCTGGGTGTGGCCACATGCTAATTAATGAATGGCACCCCACACTCCACGACCCTTCCCCTGGCTCCTCACCCCTTGTGCCGCTCTCGGCGGGGGGAAGTGGCGGGGCAAACGAGAAGTGAACTTTAAATGAGCTGCATGCGGGCACAAGGAGCGGGAAAATCACAAGGACCGTGCGTGTTTTTGGGCCACCAACTGAACTCAACTTAACTCAACAGCCTTGCAGCCAGTGCTCCACATCCACAAGGATGTGCGTCGTCCCCAGCTCGGCTCAAATATTTACCAAACTTGATTAGATCCCAGCGATTCCGAGGCGGGGCAACAAGTGACCTCGCCACTCGGCTTAACCCTGAGCACAGCCACATCGCATGTCTGCGGTTAACCCCTTGGTGGCCTCGCACGCAACTGAAACGCAACCGCTCACCATCCTCCCAGCCACATAGACCTATACCTGTACTTATAGTCACAGTCACAGTCATAGTTTTGCACACCTCCGCAGGGACAAATTGGCCTGGCAAACTGGTGTGCAACCAGACACAGATCCTATCTCAAATTGGTTCTCGGAACAGGGCTCACCCACTAATTAATCATGATGCTATCTATAATGAAATTCTACGAACACGTATGCAGGCTGAAGATAACTATAAGAGTATCTACGAAGACTTTCGTATTCATTGCATACTTTCAGTCAGGATAGTGATATGAGTGCTTAAAGATATTGAAACCCTAGGGAATCCTTGATTCCAGTTTAAGGTTACCAATGGAATTGGCCAGCATATATGCCTGGTTTCGATAACCCTTTTGCCAGCTGCGCCTAAGTGGGCTGGCTCTTTTGTACTGCAACCCGATCGTATGGAAAGGCATATTAGCAGTTCAGTTTCCATTGATTCGATTCCCCGCCCTGATTGGGTTTGCCTGCGATTGCCCCACTCATTGTTCCTGAAATGCTAAAACATCGCTGCCAGCTAAAGTTGACTCAAAGCACATCATAATTTCCCATCGATTGGCAATTTTCTAATGTCGTTATATCGCAATGCGCCCAGTTCCAGCTCCACTTTCCTCCGCCGCCGTTTCCCAGGCGAATGGCTTTCTGTTTGTTGCTTTATCAATTTGCCTCTATAAACGAGCAGCAGCCAGGGAATCAGGGAAGCAGTAACCGAATGGAGCACAGTGCAACTGAGCAGTGCCGCACCGAATAACTGACTCAATGGAAGGACGACTGATGCAAGGAGGAGGTTGGTCTCTTGGTCTGTTGGTCTGTTGGTCTGAGGGGGTGAAGAGGTGAAGGGGTAAACGGGTTAAGGATGAGGAGCTGGTCGGGTAATAGGGTGATAGGTTGCCCAATGCCGGCGCCATTAGCAAATTATACACAGCATGTGTGCATAACAGTGGGCCTGGCCCAAAAGAACCAACAAGACGGGCAATGCAGACTGGCTATCAGTCCATTTCCACAACCATTCGATCGTCTTCTCATTTTTTCCTTTACACTCAGCAAAACCTGCATCACTATCATACAAAAAACGCCTTACATTTGGCAATGCCTTGGCTTAAATTGTTGTAAGTAGGTTGAAAAGAAAATTAAAAGTACTCTAAAAGGTACTATTTAGTCGTAAGTCGTAACTCAGATGAAGGACCTTTGGTACGTCTTTTTCCCTCAGTGTATGCTCTTGCTGTTCTGTTATGTTATGTTCAGCTGTGCTTGTTGCTTGTACACATTTGATTTCCACTGCTAAATGCCAGACAAAATGTCAGGAGAAGTTGAGTGCTCCCTCAACCAGCCGCCCACGCCGTCCAATCTCGAGCAGGGAGCTGGGTGCAGGGAACTGGGTGCAGGGAACTGGGTGCAGGGAACTGGTGCTGGGAACTGAGTGCTGGGAACAGGGACCACAACAAGTGCAATAATAATTTCAACATTGAAGTGAATTTTGAGTGTCAGCCAATGCGTGCGAAATCAGATGGGAGGTGCCAACAGGGCGGATGTTGAATGGGCATGGACATGGGCGTGGGCATGAGATTGGTGGGGTGAGGAGGGGCGCCACAGGACATAGCATCTTTTTGCAATCCTCGACGGCAACCGACTGCGATGTTCCGTCTGTTTGCATAGAGAAATGCATGTGCCAAAGCCAAATGAATGCGGTTCCGAATGCTATTGCCATATGACATTGCTGCAGCGTGTCGTAAGCCATGGGTGTGGGTTGAATGGGGGCGGGCTGGGGGTTCTGGGGGTCCCTTGGCAAGGGTCGTGCATTTTAGTTTTATAAGCGATTTTGCCCAAGTCCCGCCCCACCGTCATAACGCCCCTGTGCCCCATACTGCGACTGTTTGTCGAAGCGTAAAACAAACAGAAATTGACATGTATGTGGGGTGAAAAGAAGGGTAAGGAAGGGCTGACGAAGGGTAAGGAAGGGCTGAAGAAGGGCTGAAGAAGGGCTGAAGAAGGGCTGAAGAAGGGGTGGAGCATGGTTGAGGAAGGGCTAAATAAATGAGAAGGCATGTGGCGAGCTAAGGGGCGGCGAAAAGTAATCAAATGTTGCACACATTTCAACTTGTTATTCTTTCGCCCGCCATTCACTGAACTATTGCACTCTAATGCACTCCTTATAGGGTTGGTCTGTCCCTCAATCGTCCCTTTTTTATCTCACCCACTCGTTTCAATTAAGGACTTTATGACTGAGCAATCAAAATGGGGCTTAAGTGTAAGTAAACTCCAGCGAATATGGCGATTTGCTAAAGGAGCTTATATACATTTGGAAAACCAGGCAGACCATTAGGCTATATAGTTCATAAATTCAACAAGTATTAGTCCCATTCACCGCATATAAATTGGATGTATTATTTAATTCGTGCGTACATTTTGAACACACAAGCCACATTAATAAGCCGCCAAGCAGCTAAATTGTTTTGGCAAACACTACGTGGCTCCGCAATTTATGGGCGTAAAATATGCACTCAACAAACCGCTAATCGAACACTAAGCCGTGCAATAACATTTCGCATAATATCAAAATGCCATGAGACGACTTTAAGCGCAACGCATAAAAGGTTGTCGCTCCACACTCACATGTGGCATATGGCAGTCGTATCGCACAAAAGGAATGGAGAAAAGTATTGCCTACTTATGAGGGCACTTGAGGCAATAAACAATAAAAGAAAACTCTTAAAGCTCATACAGCCAGGCGCTTAAACTGCAATCGAAGCGCAATGGGCCAATGGAGGAGCCTCCAATGAAGAAACCTCCATTGCAGGACTCGCGCCAGGACGACTTGCCACACACATACACCATCGTACATGTGTACACACGTACACGTATGTCGTCGTTGTTGGCCCCTCAGGGCGCTCTGGCATGTGCAACTATTAGAAAATATAAAACTGTATGCTACGACGCACACACACACACACACATGCACACAGGCACATATACATGCACACGCATGCGGATGTCCAAGAGAAATTACATAAAAAATTAAATGGAACACAAGCCTTGAGGGGCCATACCCTGCATAAAACGAAAAAAATGCAACGGAATCGAAAAGTGTTCGACGACCAACGTCCAAAATGGTCTGGATCCAACCAATTTTGCAACATTTTGTGGCAACTAAACAAATTACAGGTTCGGAGTTTTCCCTGCCACATCTTAAAGCTGAGAAATTGCTTTCCCCGGAAGTTGTTGATAAATTAACCTCTCTTAGTCATACTAATTAATACCTTTCTTGTTTAAACCTTGCCACTTGCCACTGCTATAATTATATTTAATCAATTCGTTATTTTGAGCCTCTTAAAATATTATACAAATATGTTAATTTTAAAGCACCATTTGAACATACCCACTGCGCTTAGCATATTTAACCATTAAGGATTTGTTGGCCATCCACAGCTAAGTGAAATGGAATTTGCTGACCAAATCCCAGAAATCCCAGAAATAATGAATGGCCAGTTGCGGGGCAAATGAGCAGTTGAAAGGATTGCGCTTCAGCCCAGAAATGCGAGCACAGTGAGAACTGCTCCACTGATATATGATGGTCGTGCCGTGGTGCAGTGGGCATGGGACATTACCGGAGCTGCCAAAAAGGCTTTCAGGCAACGACTCGTAACTCATTCCGGGGAGTTCAAGGCTGCCAACGCACCCAACCGTGATTTGTGGCCGGAATACGCAACCAGACGGAGACATATATACACACATACTCGGATACCAAATACACGCAGATGGAGATGTAGGGGTACTTACAGTATGTGTCCGTTGTCAGCCGATCGATGGTGTCCTGCTTCAATTTTGAGTTCTTCTTGCCCATGGTGAAGGTTCGCCCTGTTTCCGATGACGATACGTCTGCTTCTGCTTCTTGAGCTGACTGGCCAAGTGGTTGGTCAGTGACAGGTAATTGGGCGAGCGTGTCTTATCCCAAATCGGTCTCAGTTCGATCTGCAAGTACAAGCACAAGTGGCGGCATTGGATTAGAGATAGTCACCCGAAAACTGAGGCCGCCAAGGCGAAGGCATCGCTCATCGGTGCCTCCACCTGCACCGAAGGGTACTTTCATATTTAAGCACGTCAGCGCTGGCTTTTTGTGTGGGCCTGGCCAAAAGGACTGCCGCCCACCTCGAACATCACCGAAAACAAGGCAAGGAACAACCGCAACGACAACAGCAGCCGCAGCACAATGAGTGGGTGGCTGGGTGCTTCGTCCTTCGGGTCTTCGCACCCTTCACACCGCCACTGCCCCCCGAGCCGTGCGCCAGTGCGTCATCCGACTCAACCAAACTCAGTTGGGCCGAAACTTACGGCATGGGCTTGAACTTGGCCCTGTCGGTCCGTTCGCCCACAATTTCGGCCAATTTCAACTAAATTCCTCATTTCCATAGACCGAAATAGCACTTCATTTTGGCCGTATCGTTTCCTGTACGAAATACAATGTCCGCAATTTATGTAAAATGGTCACACCAAACGGTATGAATTGGTATTAATTCGAGTATATGTTTGAACTTATTTTATCTGCAAGATACAATTCTATCTTGTAACTACGGCACTGTCTGCAAATGTTAAGTGAGTTAATAGTTCAATGCAAGATGGACGTTTAGTTACATCCACTTAGAGGATGTAATGTCAAATGGCCAAGAATCTATTGCCCAAATTTGCAAGTACTGGGTACCAAGTGTTCGTCCCTAGAATCACAGCAAGCCCCCTGTTTGCTTTACCTTTTGCAGGTTTGTGTAACGTCAACCATGACGACAATGGCAGCGACAACAGCACGATGTCTACAAGTTTTACCCGTAGAGTTGCGTAATTAAAATGTTAATAATTTCCCAGGCAAGTTTTCCCACTTTCCCAGCGCCATGCTATTCAATGCGTCCGCGAGCAGGGAGGAAAGTTTTTAAATTCTTTGTTGCCACTTAACAAGCAAATTGCGCGAGACTTTAATTGACTTTGAATTGGCAATGTGGCAATGTGGCAATGGAGGCGGCCACCAGGCCAAAACCCATGCCCAAAAGCACCTCACGTGTGCGCCATAATAATAAGTTATGAGCGAGAAGCCAAAGCTAAATACCCAAAACCAGGATCCATAATTAGGCGCGCTGTGTCCTCGAAGGAATCATGACAAATTAGACAGAAACTTGCATAACACAATCGTAAAAGATCTGTCTGTGCCATTTTCATATTTCATTTTACGAGTTGCGGACAAATTTTGATGGCCCTGGCGGAAGCTGGCAAAGAAAACCGCCCCGACAGCCGAGGCAACTTTTTGATGGAGCTCCCAGCTTCCCAGCTTCCAGTTCCCAGCTCCCCAGCTCCCATCTTCCAGCTCCCACTGAAATCCACAGCGAAGTCAACGTGTGGACAGGCCACAACGACGACGACGACAACAATTCTCGACGGATGTGCCCAAAGTTAACTGCTGACAGTGGGAGAAATGGTAAGGGGATCAGGAACACAGGACGAAGGACGCAGGACGCAGGACGCAGGACTTGGACTGATGGCACATGGCAGAACAGAAAATTAAACAGAGCCCGAAACCGAAATAAATTATTGAACAGATCCAGCTTAAAAATGCAGCACAATGGCATTACAACTGAAGCGCAATAAATGGATAAATATTCAAGACAACTTGAGAAACAACTTGCCAGAGTAAATATACTAAAACATCTTTAGGACACAAGTCGATTGGAATTTACAAGGGTCAAAAGCCAGGTGTTATTCCTTTGTTATTCATTGTTATTCCTTAATAAAATTAAAATCAGACATCGTGGCTTTATTTTACTAGTAAATTTAGTAAGTCTAATAATAATCAAAACACCTATATGGGCAAATTACAAATATTCCCTGCACAACATTAGCTATTACAGCACTGTCTACCAAAATTTGAACGCCTAAAACGAGGGAAATATATTAAAAAATTATAAACTGATAGGACAGCTCATGAATAGCCCCCACACAATGAGGAGCCATGAAAATTGATTCCCCCCTTGAAGATCATTAGGGGAGACATTTTGGGCAATGCCCCAGAGTCAGTGGCGAAAAAAGAATGAAAAGGAAGCAATTCTGGCTGAAAAGGGCAAATGTGGCGGGCTTGGCTGGCTGGGTGCAAGGTGCGCAGTTCAGGGGTCACATGATGGTGATGCAACTGCTAACGAACGTGGAGACCCAGCGACGTGTCCAGTGCCACGTCCACATTCGAGTCCACCGCCGTGTCCCTTTGAGTGTCCTGGCTGGCTGGTTGGCTGGCTTGTACTTTCACCCGCCCTGCCGGATACCCTTGCTCCATCCCCACCAGTTCTAGCCCACTCCTCCGCGGAAGTTGTTTGTGCCAACTGCTTGGGGTGTCTGTCTCGTCCTCGTCTCCATCGTCGTCGTCCTCCGGTTGCACGTCCAGGTCCACGCTGACGTCCATGTCCCAGTCCATGTCCATGTCTGTGTCTGTGTCTGTCAGAAACGGAAATTGAAGGGAAAGAAAATTGAGCATACTTTAAGGCGCCTCCGCCTTGGCCTTCTGCCTTGTCTCAGTGTCAGTCATGGCTCTCTGATTCCCCGGCCCTGATTCTGATTCCGATTCCCGGTCCGTCTCTGCTCCTGCTCCTGCTCCTGCTCCCGCTGCTGCCCCATTCCGATTCCGAGTCCACCTGGCTGTCCGAAGGGCATTACGCGATTTCCGGCCAGCTCTAAATGCATTTGCCCATTTGGCCCCAGCAACTTTCACACCCCCAACAGGCAGGGGGAGAATTTATAAAATGGCCAACGGCGTTGCCATTGAATTGAATAATTGCCAAACGACTTGTAAACAAGTTTGCAAAGACACAGCAAAGAGTTCTAATGCTAATTTGTTTGGTATTTTCGCCAACTTCAGGGCCGTGAAACGGAGACAAAAGGCGTTGCTTCCAACTTTAATTGCCTGGGCAGGGCGACCAAACTCGATCAAACTTGGGCTAAGTTAATTAGTCAATGACTTGAATAGCCGTTCAGTAACAGGTCGAACTTCTGAGTAGAAGCGAGAAGCGAGAAGTGAGAAGGGGCCCATGAATTAGGAATTCCCCAGTGAATACTTAATTTTCGTCAGTCCTGCAAAACTTTCGCCTCGGATGCCCGCACAAAATCATAATTTTCCAGCCACTGCTGGCGATAAGTTGGCCTAATAAATTAGGTTCTAAACAATGCCTCCCTCCCAATGCAATCCCTTCATTAAAGATTGTGTTGACCACATTTCGGGATGCCTCAATTCGAGTGGCTCTGCCTGTCCGGCAGACACGTCCTGGCTTATTTCGCCTTTTAATGGAATTTTTAAGCAAACAATTATTCACGCCAGCTGGAGCGTAGCTACATCCCCTTTTCGTTTCTCGACAAATCCAGGAATTGCAATTTTTGGGCAGCCAGCCAAAGTCTCGGGCGCAAAGTTTTGCCGAAAAGAAAGGAAGTGCCAGCTTTGCTGTACAGTTTTTGCCAAGTTTTTCGGGTGCCTTAGAAATTGCAAATTGTCGCAAAAAATTCAAAAAAATCAAATAAAAAGTAATGAAAAGAAGAGAAAAAGAATAAATCCAGTGATTGCGGTCGTTTGTATTTGATTGAAGATTCATTCGTCAGCTGCTTTTCTTATCGTTGCAATGGCACTACCAAACTCCTGTCCGATGCCCTTGGCAATTCCATTAGTCACCTGCGTAACTAAGCCACCGCCATCTTATCACTGTACTATTTGTATCCCAACTCGCTTTATCTGCCCTTATCTGCTGGCAACCCCAATTTGGTAGCTCGAAAGTTTTGCTGGGACCTCATGTGTCTGGCTATTAACTTGGCCCCATGAATTATGCAAATGGCGGCTCAGAAAACAGAGCAGCGAATTGGTAATAAAGGTTACTTTGGCTCGAAAGGAACGTAACGCGATAGGACACAAGCACACACACACAAACACACTGCCCTCGAGTTCCGTTCATCGCGTTTTCATCAATGAATCACCAACTTGTATTCATCTCGAGCACATAATGAAATAATGAATCCTATGAGAACTAGTTATGGATACTATGGTCCAGGGTTCATAGTCCAGGATCCAGGATCCATGGATTCCGGGGGTTCAGGGGCGAGGGGTGAGGGGTGCGCAGCCGCCAGTTTTGAGATATTTTTGAGTAGCGACTGCAGGGTCGGCGCAAACACACACTCACGTACACACACACACGTGGGCGAAATTTACATAACCTCTTTCATTTTGATTTGATTATTTTCATTCAATTTCGTAAGCCACGCGAGCAGGCGAAGGCTGCAGGAGTGCGAGGGGGGTGGGGTGGCAGGCTAGCAGGGGCGTGGGGATTTTTTTTGCACGGGGGCTGGAACCCCGAGGGGGGAGGGGGGTTGGCTGGATTCGCTGACGTCGTCTGGCGCGTCAAAGCGCAACAGCGAGATAAAGAAGAAGCATCCTTGGGCAGCAGAGAGCAAAGAAGGATTATTTGCAGAGGTACGAATGTGTAATACCCTCGGAAGGGGAAGAATTAGGAAATATCCAATAATAAATAGGTATTATTATTTTATAGATTACTAAGCTCGTTTTTCCAACGCTAACATTAATATAATTTTTATTCTGAGGCATACTATTTTAAATAACTTATAAGAAATAAATCATTTACATATACCCTAAACCCTTAAGTACAAATAGCCATTAGGCTTAAGATGAGACATGCTATCTTTTCAGTTTTACTGGCGATAAGTAATCCGCAGCAAAAGCAAATATTATGTCCATTGAAACGATGGCAAGCCGATGTCAAGTTGTCCAGCTGACAGACAGTGATATAGGGTATACGTTTTTCGGGGCAGGCAAGCAGTGAAAACAAAAATTGAATATTTTATCACTGGGTAGGTGGGCGAGGAAGTGGGAGACTGGCAGTTACATTGTGCTTTTGTGTGGGTGTGTGGGTGTGTGGCTCTCTGTTACCCTTTTATGGGCTGCC